CTGTCTTCTTCCCTCTTCCTCTCCCTCCTTCCCTTCTTCCCTCTTCCATTCCTTACTTCCTCCCTCCCTTCCTCCTCTTTACTTTCTCCTCTTCTCTCTACTTTCCCTCAAGCTCTCATCATGCTGGAATGTGACCTTTAGGCCTCTTGAGTTATCATCTGTTGTTCTGAGCTCCCTGCGTCAATCTCTCCCCTTCTCTTTTCTTTTTATCAGAACGGGCTGAACGCTCTCCATCTCGCTTCCAAAGAAGGCCATGTAGAAGTTGTGTCAGAGCTGATCCAGAGAGGCGCCAATGTGGATGCGGCAACCAAGGTCTGGAGCTGGTATATGAAACTTGCACTGCTTTCCTACTCAGGCCCCACGCCCGCGGAGGGCAACTGAAGGAAGAAAAAGGCCAGAGGTCCCCAAACTTGGCAACTTTAAGACTTGCAGGCTTCAACTCCCAGAATTCCTCAGCCAGCATAGCTGGGAGTTGAAGTCCACAAGTCTAAAAGTTGCCAAGTTTGGGGACCCCTGCCTTAAGCCTTTAGCTGAGTGGTAAAGGGGTGGTGGGAGGTGCAGAGGAAAGGGAAAATGTTTTGGGGGACGTAGAATTGTTGATGTAGAATCAGGGACCAAAACTAGGCAAAGGCTGGTCAGGAGATGAATCTGTCTCATTTCAGCTTGTCGGCTTCCTGTAATGTCTGTGATTATGAAGAACTAGACTGACCAAATGCCTGTCAGTCTCCCAGATCTTCTTCCTAACATCATTTCCTGCTTGGCTCTTATTGGCTGCCATGGCAACAGGCGGGGGGGCAGGATAATTGGGGCTTTTGGGGGAAGAGTGCTGGAGATTGAAGTTGTGTGAACTGTAAAAGTTGGGATGCTTTCCTGCTTACTGCGGCAAATGCAGCCACTTAGGTCAACCCTCTGGGCATAGTAGATGTGTGAGGCGCCACCTGAAGATGACATTATACACACCTCAGATTGGATGTCCAATTTGAATTGTTGAGGGTGGGGACTTGGGCAGTAGTGGGATTCAATTATTTTTACGACTTGTTCTGGGGTGGGTGTGGCTTGGTGGGCATGGCAGGGAAAGGATACTGTAAAATCTCCAGTCTGGGGTGGTATTTTCCGGTTCTCCAAACGACTCAAAATTTCCGCTACCAGTTCTCCAGAACTGGTCAGAACCTGCTGAATGCCCACCTCTGGACTTCGGATAACTTTCT